TTGAAGACCTAGCTATGTTTATCCTGGTATATTTGCACAAAATACCATACTCTTAAATATAAAAAAAACCATAAAGAACGTCCTAAAGGCCGTAAAACTAACTTCCAATAGAAAACAGCCCTATTGCAAGGAGGAGGAGGAGGAGGAGGAGGAGGAGGAGGAGGAGTTGGATCCCAGGCAAAAGGTCTTGCTTTCCTCCACTGCACCACAAAAAAGTAAAGAAAAAAAGAATAAAAGAACCTGGATAGTGTAAGGCACTTAATTAATTTTAATTATTTCTGATTTTTGAATGACCTATGTCTATAACAAGATGGCATGGAACATATTCATGAATGCATTAACAATGTAAGAATGAACTGTCGTGTACATGTTGGGTGTTCTTATAGTTTAAATTAGGTTCTGGAGGGTTCTGTAGATATAACCAACAGAGCCACTAAAACTGGAAGAGCATACACAGGTCTGGTCCGCTATCCACATCAAAGGTCTAAGGTGGGGGGGGTGGACACAGGACAGGTATAGGAAAAATCAATAAATAAAAATTTAAAAAGCCTAAGTCTATACAACACATGCCTTATCACCAAATGCCCACACAAACAAAAAATATGATTGTCTTTGCTGTAATTCTATCATTTCAAGTACCTGTTACCATCTAGCACTTATTTTCATTGCTGACATTGTTCATTTTCTATATATCTCATACAATAAAAAAGTTAAGATATAGGAACTTTTATCTGTTGAATTTCTTGTGATTTGAGTAAAATTTGATACAGTAGGTACTCCATAAATACTGGTTGAACTCATAATTCTCTTAAAGGCCCTTCTGTCCTTAAGGTAGCAACTTATTTATTCATGGTAAAAATGCAATATGAATCATGCCCATTTTCATATATATGAAATTATTCTTGCTATCTCCTGTCAGACCTCTTAGGAAAAATGAAGTATTCAAACTGGATTTTCAATTCACCACTACTGTCTAGTCTGTGGCTTAACTTTTACTCCATTTTTAAATACATGAAATACATTCTCTTGGAAACTAGTTATATACCTTCATTAGATTCAATACCATAATGGTAACTCGAAGAAGAAAACTTCTGCATTACAAGTTATACATTAATGATACAAATAAGTTGTAAATGACAGACCTTTGGGTTCTTGTTTTATCCCATGCATTTGAGATGCTGCATTGTTAGGGTTTGAACTCACAGCCTCACATTTGCAAGTAATAAGCAACTGCTTTGCCACTTGAGCCACCAACCTACATCCAATTATGCTTTTAGTACATATATGTATATACAGTCTGTAATATATAATATTATATATTATAGTATATGTATTTAATGTATGATGTCACACTTTTGTCTGCTTGGACATCAATCCTCCTACCTCTCCTATGGCTAGGACCATAGATACACACTACTGAACTCAACTTCTTGTTGAGATGACATACCTTAGTTTCACTGGTGCTCATGAACTCAACCTCCTCATTCCCCGGGATTACAGGTATGAGTACCCAACACCATTCCAGTCTCCAGGGTCTTAAGGAAAATCTTAAATCTCATGTTTGGAGTGCGTGGTCAGGATGGAGGTCCTATTACCCTAAAAACCTTACAAATAAAACTAAGTGAAGGCTTCTTTTTTCTACTGTGTTCAATTTTATTTGTGTAATTTATATTTTAAAGTATATATGTTATTGTTATTGTAGAGGTGATATCCAGAGGGTTATAGTTACTTGTCAGGTAATGACTACAGTTCTTTTTTAACTATGTCTCCTCTTCCCTTGCTCTCTTCCAATTTTTCCCTCCCACCCCCACCCACAATGTACTTATCCATGCACCCTAAATCAATTCATGTCCTCTTTTATGAATCTACTTAAAAGTGAATTGTTAAATATGTGTCACATATCAATGACAGGCAGGGAATTTAATGTTAGCACAGATGTTAAGAAGATAATTTTTCCCTTATTTGGTTAAGTAGGTTGTCTCACAACCTACAACCTTTGAAACCTAGGTAAGGAAAAATGGTATTATGTGATTCTTTCAACCTTTCAGTACATTATTTTGAAAAAACAGAAATAAAACATAAACTGCATTTCTTGAAATAGTTGAGCAAAGCATTTTGAAGTCTTCATTGTGTGTAAAAAGAGTGTGTCTTAGAAAAACAGCAAATTCAAAAAGTTCATCTGCATAGATTTAAGATTTGAATTTAACCGTGTCAGAATCACATATCTGAGAAATATGCTGTATTTCACAAGCTTATAATTCATATGGACAGACAGAGAATTATATCTCCTTATAAGTTTTACCTTCGGGGCTGGGAAGGTGGCTCAGTGGTAGAGCGCTTGCCTTGCATGCCTGAGTCCCTGGGTTTGATTCCTCAGCACCACATAAGCAAAAAGAAAAAAGCCGGAAGTGGCACTGTGGCTCAAGTGGTAGAGCACTAGCCTTGAGCTGAAGAGCTGAGGGACAGCACCCAGGCCCAGAGTTCAGGCCCCATGACGGGACCAAAAAAAAATAAATAATAAGTTTTACATTCTTAGGGGATTTTCTTCAAATGCTAGATTAAAATGTGTGTCCCTCTAGAAGCTACTTCAATCATGTATTCTAAAAAGTATATTTCCATAGGTAAAATTCCGTAGGCGGAGGAGTTTTATTATCTCTGAGTTGCAATGTGGAATGTCTTATTTCCTAGGACAAAGTTTGTTAAATGAGCACTGGCAGTACGCGTAGAGCTACGCTTTTGGACTCAAGCACAAGTCATCTCTTTTCAGTCACCATTAGCAGAAGCCAGAAATGATTGAGCACTTAGAATGGGGCCCTTGGTTAATTGAACTGGAATTAGAAGGAAAGTAGGCAATTTAGAAAATAAGAGTCGCTGTACTGATTCAGACCAATGGTTCTCATGGCTTCACATTCAGCCTCCAGCAGCTGTACTTGTTAGTTTCTATAGCTGAGAAAGAGAGAGAGAGAAAGGGGGAGGAAGAGAGAGAGGACTGCATCATTCTCCTAGACAAGGCTGCCATCTGTGATCTGAAGAAATTTTCATCTTGACCTCTCTCAAATAATCCCTTAAAGCAGGAGCTGTCAGTCCTACAATGATATTGGTTTAGCCTGAATAGTTCTGGTTATTAATAATCCTTATTAAATCATCCAATTCCTACATAAAACCAACTTCTCTATCAGGAAACTATTTATCTCTAAAGCTCCTCGGTTCATGGTTGACTGTGCCTGTTTATGTGATAAAATGTTAATTTATGAGGCTAATTCAGTACCCAGTTCTTGACAGTAAAATCTGCTTCTAAATAACCAGGCTGGATGGTGTCTGTTTTTCTTCCAAACTTTACTGCACGCAAAGGTGTGCTTCCCTCACTACTAAGTATAGTACTAATACTAAAGCTTCTCCCAAATTGGGATCTATTATTAATCTACAGGTGCTGGGTGAATCATAAAAATTTTGCCTGTTAAACTTCCACAAAAGTTCAAAAAAACTGTATATACTTTATACAATTCTTCTTAAGGTTGAATGAACTTAAGAGAAAGAAATGAATCACTTAACTTACATTATTCTAGAAATCACAGGTCAAAATACCTAAAATAGTATATTTGCAATACCCTTGATGACAAAAATCCCTCAAGAGTAATTCAATCTAACTACAGTCTGAGCCATTGTCCAGAGACATGAAACATTAATGTGATGAAAAGATTGTCCTAAATCTCTAACAGGAGCTTTGGAATCTTATTACCAAGAATACTAATTACCATCATTATTTTAATTAAGAAAGTTCCCTTATTCATTTCTGTGTTGTCTATTTCCCCATCCTCCCCATTTATTTCCTCTGTCTACTTCAACCAGAGTGTATGTCTTCAGATCGTTTTCTCTTCAGGACATACAAATATTCCCTTCTGTTGCTGTTTCTGACAATTTCTTAAGATTTCCTGTTTATTATTCCCCTGTGGGATAATGTATTTTCCAAATGTACTTGTATTTATAGGCCTAGATTAGTATCTAACTCAATAATAATAATACACATATTGATGAGAAACTTGTAAGCTTACCAATGAATGTACTACTTAATGCCACTTCAAAAATGTCTTGTGTGTTGGGCTGGGATATAGCTCAGTGGTAAAGCACCTGCTAGTGCAATGTTCTGGGTTTGCTCCCCAGCACCAAAAAGAAAAACCAAAATGAAAAAAAAGAGAAGACCTTGTGTGTTTCATTTCCATGACTGCAGTAATCGTTGTGAAATGCTACAAAGGTATGAATCACAGAAAGTTTCCTAACATGTTTAGACTGCTGTGATGGGTTAAGGAAGGAACTCCAAGAACTTATAGCTGGAAGAAAGCACAAGAAGAGACAGGGCAGAGGGTATCACAGAAAATCCCCTTGTTATTTTGGTTTGTGTGTAGATCATTTGAAAATAAGCTCAAATGCAGGGATGTAACCTCATATTGAAGACGTTTTCCTTAGTGGGCCATACAATTATAATCATCTTCAAAGTCAAAAGGACCGATTCCTAAAATCATGACTTCATTGTATAATAAAATATGCAGCCAGGTTCACATTCAGACAGTATTGGCAAGAATGAGTCGAATAAAATAGAATATCACATATTCAGTGGATCTTCTAATATTTATTGTGAGGATAGTACGTGTAGGGCAAGAGGAAAAAGTTACAGAAAAGTATGCTGCCTTTATTTGACTATGTTTTGGTGTGCATGTGAAATATTTTATTGAATTTGAAATTATTTTGTCTTTGTATTTTATGCAGGAATGCATGCAATACTCTGTCTTTAACTGTTAGTTTCTGAAGTTGTAAAGCATGGTATGTGAAATCATTAAAAATTCTTAATCGCGGGTTGTTTATGCTCAGGGGTTTCAGAACACATCCATCTTCTTTGTTTCAACGTTTTTTTGTTAATGTATTTTTTTTATGTGTTTCAAAAGTAATATTGTTTCATATCTAACAAGAATTTCAAAAGAGGTGTAATTTCTCTGACTGTTTAGGTACCCAAATGGGACCCAGAGCAATAACACAAGATGGCCATTCTTCAGAACCCCTGAACAAAAATACTTAACCTTGAACACAGACTCACCAAGGATATACTCTAAACTACGAGCTCAGCAGTGCCGATTCTGGAAACTATTTTTTCCCAAAGTCTTGGAAATGACAGGTGTGTGCTTTTAATTAATAGACTGCATAGTATGAAGCATGAGAGAAAGGTAGCTTATTCAAGAGAAGGTATTGATATAAACTCCCATGACTTCAAGGTTATTTCATTTCAACAAGGACATTATCTCATCAAAATTCCTTCCACAAGTGTATTTATGTTTTGCACACTTTCCAGAGTACCAAAAAATTTATTGGCGCTCTACTTACTTTTCAGTCGATCCTTGTAGAATTAATTAAGGACAAATAAATAGATACATAAAATTTACATATGTAAAATGTTTTTGTAGTGAATAGAGCTAAAAAAACTACTCAAAAATTTGAACACACATTTATTAATAAATAGTAATACTAAGGAACAAAGTAAGAAACACATAATTTCCATGTGGAAAAACACAACTAAATATTTCCAAGAATTTTGAACTTAGAAATATTTAAGGAAGAACACACAAACACACATATTGCATAATATCATAAATAGTAATTTAGTTAATTAACCTTTAATGTGTGATTGCTTAAAGGTATAAAAAGAAATACTTGGCAAATTATTCCAATTACCATATTATCTCAATATTCATTATTAAGGAAACAGTGCAATCAACATGAGTTAATCAAACATACATCATCCTACTTTAATTTTAAATGAGAAAAGTGACAAACATATTCAACTCACAGCATGGTTATGAGATATCTAGCTATTTATAACTCACATGGTCCTTAACTTACAACTTTTATTTTTCAGATGAAAGTAACTGACTCTCTGTCATCTAAAATCACTAGCCAATATTGTCCTTAATTTTTCACACAGTTTGATTTTCAGACTATGCATGTCATCACAGTATCTGCTTTTATTTTCTTATTTAGATAATGTAGGAGGCATTTTCTGATCAATATAAGCATCTCAAGGATTCATTCAATTGTTTAATATGCCTTTTGATCCTCCTACATTACTCACTAAAATTATAATTATGTTCTCAATCTGCTCCGGAGATATTTCTGATGTACCAGAACCCTGTGTATCCCCATGTATTCTGTGATCTAAGATTTAGAGTTGGGTCTCCACAGCACTGGGCAGATCAACAAGTGCTCATTGTGCCTTCAGGGTATGAATAACAACAAGATGACTCACGCCATCTGCCAAGACAGTCAAACAAATAGTGTTTAGTATACCACAGGCCACTGGTTCTAAATTGTTATTTAAAATATCATTTAATGAGAGTCCTAATCTGGAGAAACATAAGTAAAGGGAGAAGGCAGTGGTATTTGTAAATGGCTTATATATGGTAAGCTAAACCAAGTCCTTGTACAAACACAAAGTAAATATATCCTGGTAGCATCAAAAAAAAAATGGTCCACTGGAACAATGATCACCAATGCTTTAGGTTTTATAAATAAGTAATCTAATGGGATTAGAACTGGTAAGTACCTATTGTTGGTACATCTTAGTTTTAAATCTCAACACTTTGAATATGTTCCTCTTTTGTGTTTACATCATTTGCACTGAGGTTTCTCTGGCATCTTTAAAGATTGCTGCTTTACAAACAAGGGGAAAACCACAGAATCACTATCGTCTGGCTTTCGTAAAAGGAGAAATGTTTATTCCACTTATGATGGAAAGGTTATAGTTTTATAAGTACCACTTCAGCCAATGTTTACGTTGGAGCAATACATGGCCTCAAATAAAATAGTTCTTAAGACTTGTTTAAACACATAAATTCTAGCACTTCGCTTGCTATTATTATGAAGCATCTACAGGAAATAAAATGTACAGTATTTGACTTAAATGTGATTAGGTTCAGAGTTTCACTAAGAAGACTTCTGCATAACAGCTACACTTACTTTAAAAAAATAGAGAAAAGATAACACTTGACTTATTAACTGCCATCACCTGTACGAATGTTGTGTTGTTGTTATAATAAGAGAGTGAATTCACATAAAGGGAAAAAATTGTTAGATCTTCATATCATCCAATTAAAAAAAAAGTAGTTGCTCTCCTGACCTTTTTATGAGTCACAGAAAATTGTTGCTTGTCTGAATTAAAGCTAGTGGCATCTAAATTTAAGAGTTTCAGCCGGGTGCCGGTGGCTCATGCCTGTAATCCTAGCTACTCAGGAGGCTGAGATCTGAGGATAATGGTTCAAAGTCAGCCCGGGAAGGAAAGTCCATGAGACTCATCTCCAATAAACCATTAGAAAACCAGAAGTAGCGCTGTAGCTCAAGAGGTAGAGCGCTCGCCTTGAGCTGAAGAGCTGAGGGACAGCGCCCAGGCCCAGAGTTCAAGCCCCATGACTGAAAAAAAAAAAGACTTTCAGATGCTATTTGCATTGGTCATTATAGAAACATTTACTACAATTAGTTCACAAAGTTGAGTTCAGAATGCCTGAATTTTCTTTTCATCATGAAAAATACCAAACAATTCTAAAGCAATAGTTGGGTAAGATGATGATAAAATCAACTCTTTAATAATACATGAAGTCTTCACAATGCCTTTATCATCTCTTCCACCCTCAAATTATTAAAAACAATAAATTATAATCCTCTACAAAAGACGGTCCTGATAATTTCTGTCACTGATTGACAACTGCAGTCAAAGCTGGTCATGGAAAACAAAGTTACCATGTACTCTCAAATAATTATTCTTTAACCCTGATCCTTGCCCCAATAGTAATACTAATTTAATGGCTTTCACAATTAGCCTGTATTAGCTATTAGGGATGGATGCCGCTTTTCCTGTATTCTGAGTTGCTCTGAATGTTTGTATCTACTGAAACCTCTGTGCTAAAACCCTCTTCTTCAATGTAATGGTATTCTTAGGTGGGTTCTTGAAAACAGAGGAGGTTTTGAGTATAGAATCTCCATCAGTGGGGTTGGTGCCCCTCTGAAAAAGGCCAGAGACAACTTCCCAGTTTGTATGTATTAGAACTAGCATTAGGATTGCCCTGAAGCAGAAAAAAGCTGTTCAGAGAATACTACATCTCCTTCTGCCCTCACTTCTGCCTCACAACACATCACTTCATTCTTCCTGTCTGATTGTTAGCATTCTCTGTTCTGCTCAGAAATTCCTGATGCTCTTTTATTGACAGTAATCGTTGCTATTATTATACAGAAGAAAAAAACTTATTTTTCAAGTAACACAGCACAGTAGGCAAGGCAGAAGTCACTACAAAGTGAATTGTTGAGATAGAGCTCAAAACAAAGGCTTGCCTAGTGAACTTGATATCCTGAGCTAAAATCCCACAACCACTGAACATTAGGTGAATTGACAAAGTTCTGTCAATGTATTGATGACCTTACAATTTCTTTGTTTTCTCCTGTGGCAATCCCATTATTCCTTATTCTGTGCATCATATAACCAAAAAGAAGCTGATTCTCTTATACTCGTGAATCCCTGCTACATAACACAGGTTAATCACTGTTTGACATTCACGGAACTGTTTGTATTCCTTGAGATAATTCAAAAGCATTTTAGTCCACTCATATAAGTGAGTTAGCTAAAAATAAAATGGAATATAATTAATTCAATGTAAGACAAAAGTAAGTTGAATAAAATAATAGTAAATAGGCCATGGGTATCAAGATTGCTTGATACCTGTGTGCTTGGTCATTCTTGCACCTGGGCACTGTCCCTGAGCTTTTGTACTCAAGGCTAGTTCTCTACCACTTGAGCCACAGCTCCACTTCCAACATTTTGGTGGATAATTGGAGATAAAAGGCTTATGGACTGTGCTGCCTAGGATGACTTTGAACCTCAGTGGTCAGATCTCAGCTTCCTGATTAGCTAGGACTACAGGTGTGAGCCACCAGAGTCTGGGAAGTGTATTTTTACTTATATTTATAACTGTTTATTAGCTATCTGTCCTATTAGTGTACTTTAAAATTCATACTAAAGTTTGTACAAGCATAAAAAATTAACTCCAAATTACTCAACTTAAAACTATAACTGAAGTTAAATTTATTCATACATATTGTATCAATATATATATATATATATATTAATATATATATATAGTCAGTTGTGGGGCTTGAACTAAGGGCCTGGGTGCTGTCCTGGAACCTCTTTGTGTTTAAGGGTAGCACTCTAGCACTTGTGCCACAGCACCATTCCAATATTCATTTTTTATGCATAAATTGACATCCTACCATCACGCAGTTAGTTTTAAGACACTAAAATTACATTCTCTATTACTTTTTGCTTTTTTGCATATTATAGTTTATAATCTATCAGAATTTAACTTTATGCCTAACCATTGATTTTTTTTAGTTTCTTTAACAAAAAACAAGATTTTTAGTTTCTTTACATGCAGCAAATAAAATGTACTTGTGTAAATATTACAAAAGTATATACTGTCTATTACATACTCCTGTGTATAATTGCATGTAATTATATGCTGCAATGAACTTCCTAAAATATCACCTGACATTTTTACCAAGTCCTTCCTAGAAGGTTTTCTAGTGTAAGGAGATGGCGACTGGTGGAAGGCATACCATTTAGTATTTATTTTATTAATTATTTTATTAAATATTTAATATTATTAATTGACATGATCTTAAGATTTGTCTAACACAAGCAATTTAGATTATTTATTAACTTAAGTAGAAAAATTCTTAGCTAAATAAGCCATGAAAATATTACATACGTGTAAAGGAGAAGATAATTACTAAGCAACTCCACCTGTGTAGTGATTACATTGAATTGTCTTCCATGAGCAGTTTTGAGGACATTTTTTCCCCACAGATAGCATGATTCCTGGTAGAAAGGTGACTTGTCCTTTCTCATCTATTATGGTGATGACACTTCAGCGCTGCTGCTCTCTCACAATGTTGGAAACCCGTGCCAGCAGCTGTAAGGAGCTGCATGGACGGAAATGACAGCTGTCTCTGCCTCCTGAGGTAGAGGACACAGGGCCCAGGAACACAGGAGGCTTTTAAGGGAAGATAAGAAGACCTGAATCTTAATATGAATGTCAAGGAGAGAGAGCCAAATAAGCAGAGGTCAATGCTGCAGTGTCTGTGTGTCATGCTGAGGCATTTACATTCTATCTAGAGCAAAGCCATTTAGTCATTTTAAATGGAAGTCTGGCATGTTCTGGTTACTGATTCAGGAATGTATTAGGTTTCTTTGAATAGGACAATTTTTCTACCTTGTCTCCCTAGAGATGGAAAATAACCCTCAGTAGCACCCACTTAATGATTTCATATGTGAGATAATGTCACTCATCTAAGCTTCCACATTTTCATTAGTTTGCAGGAAGACATGCTAGCCTCTCAGCTTCTCCTGATTAATTTTATTTAATTATGGTATATATATGTATATGGCATATATTAGGTAGATACATCTACTATATATGTATATATGAACATATATGACTTTTTCTAGTTTCTTTGTATGACAGTATTTCATATTAAATTTGTCTCACAGTACAAATTATTCAAGAAACAAGAAATGGCTAGGAAGGTGGCTCAGTGGTAGTGTGCTTGCCTTGCATGCATGAGGCCCTGGGTTTGATTCCACAGTACCACATAAGCAGAAAAAGCCAAAGTTATGCTATGGCTCACATGGTAGAGCACTAACCTTGAGCTGAAGAGCTGAGGGACAGCGCTCAGGCCCAGAGTTCAGGCTCCAGGACCAACAACAAAAAAAAACCAAACAGATGAATTAAATCCTATAACAATTTTTTTCTTTTATTATATCTTGGATATTCAGCTTGTAATTTTACTTCATGTGCCTCAATGTGATCTTTAGACTACATGAAATTGCCAGTTTTATAAAATTAAAATTATTATTTAGAACTCATTTTTTCAATTAAAAAACTTACTTTGTTTTTGAGAATGATTAATTCTTTTCGTTTTGTTCATATTGCCAAACCTGTCTGTTTTTCTTTAAATTTGGGATAGATATTTGCCTCCATTCTTTCACATTCTGTTTTCTGTTACACTATTTTGACAAATGTTATTTAAATGCACAAATTGCAAACAATGGACATTGTTCCATTTTAATATCCTGAATGTGAAAAATTTATTTTCTGATTTATAATGATAAAGATGACTAGAATGAATGAAGAGGATATTTTTTATATGTAACTAAAATCTTGAGGCCAATCAACTGGTTTTCGCTTATTTTTAAAGACTGATTAAATCATACCATATTATTGTCATATTTACCACAGTGTGTAAAACACAAAGTATTTTACTGAAAGAACAATAAAAATACGAAATTGTAACTTTTAAAATATTATCATTCTTCCTTAAAAAATGAAAAGACAGTCAAGGGTTAACTTAGAAGTATTTAACATAATGAATTTAAAGAATTTAAAGTATTTAAAGATATTGATCAATATTTTATTTTAAATTTCGTTCTAAGCCTCTCCTTTGTTTTTTCTGTATTCCTTTGGATTTTTTTCTTTGAAAACATTCAAATAATTCTTTCGTTAATTTTCTCTCCCTCAGAAAGAGTCTCAGACTTATGGAATATGATTAAATCGTTCTTATTAGAAGAATCTGTAGGCTCTGGACAATTAGTTATGTGGAGGGATATTTTCAGACTGGATTATTCTTTCTTGGTGATGATATTAATGTATATTTTTAATGCTTGTCTTGGGATTTGAATTCCGGTCTGCTTCTTTCCTTGAGTGGCTGTATGCAAGGCTAGTGCTCTATTACTTGAGACATAGCTCCACTTTGGCTTTTTCTTCTTCTTCTTCTTTTTGGTAGTTACTTGGAGATAAGTATGACATGGGTTTTCCTGCCCAGGCTGGCTTCAACATGCGATACTCAGATCTCAGCCTACTGAATAGCTGAAATTCCAGGCATGAGCCATCAGTGCCTTGCTTCATAGAAATATTTTAATGTGCTTAATAATTTCTATTTTGAGAAAATGCCAAATTTTCCCCACTGAATTTCACTTCCTTCACCAATTGGTTTGTAATAAATAAAATAAAAGTCAAACCTATTGTTTACTCTAATATATGGCACAAATTTAAATAAATTAGTTGTATCTAGAACTAGGGCCTGCAAAATTCCATGGATTTATGAGCTTATTGCTGGTGAAGAGAGAAACATGGTCTTAAGGTGGATTGTTATCTTCTTAGCGCTGGCCAACATAGAGCACGTAAGGAATTAACACCAAAGAGGAAGAGAAGAACAGGAAGAACAAAAAGTAATCTTAGTTCCATATTTTCCCCCTAGATTTTGTTAGAAAATAACTGCATACTTCATATTTCATGGTCTGTATCAATACCAACTATGAGGAAAGGAAGGGAGAAGGAAGGAAGGAAGGAAGGAAGGAAAGAAAGAAAGAAAGAAAGGAAAGAGGGAGGGAGGGAGGAAAGGAAAGGAAGGAAGGAAGGAAGGAAGGAAGGAAGGAAGGAAGGAAGGAAGGAAAGAAAGGAAAGAGGGAGGGAGGGAGGAAAGGAAAGGAAGGAAGGAAGGAAGGAAGGAAGGAAGGAAGGAAGGAAGGAAGGAAGGAAGGAAGGAAGGAAGGAAAGAAGGAAGGAAGGAAAGAAGGAAGGAAGGGAAAGGAAAGGAAGGAATCCATGTTAACAGACACAGTATGCACTGAAAAATATTTCAAATCACCAAATTGTGTAAGTATCTGATCAGGACATGTAAGGAATGAATTTACATTTTGTAAATAGACTTGGTAGCATTCCATGCACAGAAAAGGAAGTGAGAGCTCAACCTTCCCAATGATTCATGAGTGATGTTATAATAACCAAGTGGTCTTTGACAGGAAAAGGGTTCTCCACTCATGTTCTAAATGCTAAATTGCTAATAATTTATTCAGTACATCCCAAATTTTATTCTTTTTTTGAACTTTAAAGTTCTTATTTTATGTAACATTTAAAACATTTAATTATCATTAAAAAGAGTATAAAAGAGAATCATTTGGTGTTCTATTTAACATGTGCTTTCACATTTAATGTTTGTGACCCTTCAGAATAAAATTCTATTATTTGCAAAAATATATAGTCATTAACCTTTTAAAGGCCAATTGTATTTAAAATTGGGACTTTATATATATATATATATATTCCAGAATATTTGTCTAATATCTAAGTTTCATAAGCATTTTTGAATTTAAATCTATCTTAATAAAATACCATGGGCATTATAAGTGGTATATAAATGTTTTAGATATTTTCATTTCATATAAAGTTTAAAACAAGTCACTAAATTGTCTACTCCAACTCAATTTTATTTTCATTTACTAGATTTCTAACTTTGAAATATATCTTAGGTGATTTTCAGCCCCATTTTAAGACCTCCTGGAATTGCTTCAATTTTATTTTAATTTAATAAATATAGGTCATCATCCTCAAACTTTAAGAAAAAAAATAAGAGAAGCACAAAGTCTATGGTCTGAATTTTAGAGTTTTGTTCTTCACTGTAGCATTATCATTAAATCAATGCATCATATTTTTGTGTTAGCACTGGGGCATAAACTCAGAGCTTCATTCTTTCATTTGGCATTGCTGCTCAAGACTGACAATTTACCATTTCACACATGGTACCAGCTCTTGCCTTTTGCAGATTAATTGGAGACAGGTTCTCTGTGACTTCTCTGTCTGCTTGCTTCAAATCATTATCCACAGATCTCAGCCTCCAGAGTAGCAAGGATTATAGGGTTGAGCCATCAGTGCCTGGCTAATTTAATATCCTTTAAAATAAATCACATAGATTTTTACAAGAGTTTACTGTCTCGCATCATTTTTGTTGAAATTCCCATTTCACTTGACATTCATAGTCCTGAAAAGCTATTTGAAAGCAAAGACTCAATTATCTATTTTATACAGAAGTTATTGAACTATTTTTATATGATAGGCAGCTGAAAAAACTAAACTTAGTTTGGAATTAAAATACATTGTAATGAGTATAAAATCCACATGAAATTATAATTACAAGCTTATTTTATGCATTAATAACTATTCACATATGAATGTCATACAAAATAATAGTCTATGTAATTATCTCTATAAAGGTATGGATTACATATACTACATGGGTGTATGATATAGAAGATTTTTATATTGCAGACAATTAAAGTAAAATGTATTTATTTGGGATTAAAAAATATACATAACAGAATCTGGCAAAATAGAACATGCAAATTCATATTTTTAGTTTATGTATTTTTATCTTTGTTGATTGATTTTTATTGGTTGTAGAACTTGAACTCTGGGCCTGGGTGCTCCTCCTTGAGCTCTTCAGCTAAAGGCAAACGCTCTACCACTTGAGCCACAGAGCTACTTGCAGTTTTCTGAGTGGTTTATTGTAAATAAGAGTCTCATGGAGTTTCCTGCCCAGGCTGGCTTTGAACTGTGATCCTCAGATCTCAGCCTCCTGAGTAGCTAGAATTACAGGAATGAACCACCAGTACCCAGCCTCTTTTTATATATTTAAACATTTTATCTATATTTCAACTACTCTAGGTATTGGTTCAAGTAGAAACAGAACTTGACAATACATAAGTAAGAATAAAAATATTTCTGTGCAGTATACAAGGAGAAAATAACAACTGTTATTTTTCATTTAATGTAAACAGATTAAAATTTATATTAATGCAATTTCTCCCATGTTTTACAGGAAATATTGATGAAGCAGAACAAGAGTGGAAGGCAGGGTTTCACCGCTGGAACAATTACATGATGCACTGGAAAAATCAATTTAATGATTACACCAGCAAGAAAGAGAGCTGTGTGGGTCTCTAATTAGTAGACTTAGCCTTATGGATAGTTCATTTTCCTTTAGATGAAGGGAAAAATATCAACAGCTTTATACACATCTCTGAAGAAAGCTATTATAGGAGTGAAACAAAACACCAGAAGAATTATAACCATTCTTGACATCCATTGCTATTTTGCCCAGCAATTCAAAACCAAAACCACTGAAAGATGCTTATTCAAATTACACGGTATAACATTTGAAACTTAATTATACACATATAGACATGCGTGTCTTGCTTCAATTTCTTTCCTCAATAACTTTATAATAGATTTCTTATAGTATATGGATTCTGATTATAGTCACATACATATTTTATTACTATTTATATGTTATCTTTTTGCTATCAACTAATTTTTGAAACACTGGACATTAGAATTTGCAAATAATTTCTTCAAATCAATTTATAATTTGAATGTCAATATAATATTAAAGCAAGAACAAAATCATAATTGGCCTCTATTTGGTTTTTACATGTAAAAGCAAGAGAGAATGTTTAAATAAGAGTCTCAGACTCCTGAAAATCAGTTGCAATGGGGTCAAAATGTTACTATCCACATAATCAAAGAATATTTTGATCAAGTCAAATCAAGAACTAATGAACTGGTTTTTCAAGATGGGCAAAAGTGATTCATAATATTGATGCATGTGAGTAGAACCTGTTATCTGAAGGAAGTTACTGGTGTTCTAACCTATCTACATCAGTTAACTTTTCCTATTTATCAATCTTGCAAAACAGATTTGTAAAAAAAGCTCTTTGATATGCCGAACAGGCATACTCTTGCTTTATGAATCAGAAGATTCTATGTTAAAACAACAAACAAATGAACAACAACAACAACAACACACACACTAACACACCAGAGGATTCAGAGATGCACAGTAGAAAACTGCAGGATCTTTTGATATCAAGACTGTAGGACAGTCAGGAAATCTTGACAAATCACCTGCTTTTGTCTGGTTGTTTCTTTCTGCACTGAGGATCTGCAAAGCAAAAATGGCCACTCAGTATTGCATATCAACACTGTAATTATCCAATTCAAACAGGCTTTTTTACCTGTATCTCTCAAGTACTATGAACTGTGAGGGACTCTGAATTATGGTCATTGAAGGGCAGCTTTGATGAAAAATTCTAATTCAAGGACACCCAAGCCCTCTGAATTCTCATCACTTTGTTTAGGAGATAGATAAAAAGGAGATTTGATTCAAGTTGAATATTAAAAATGTATACCTATGAAAACTTCAAAAATGTTGGAAAATTTCTCCTAGTTCTTAGTGTGTGGACAACTATTTACTAACTGCAAGTAAGGAGTGATGGGAGCTATCACCTAGTTTTGGTGAACTTTTCAGAAAATGTTTGAAAGTAATTCAGACATATACTAGTTATTATCATACCAAAGCAGGTATAGTAAATTCAACCAAAGTTAGAATATTAACTATATCAATTATATATATATATTGAAAAAATATTTTTCAATTATTTGATATTTGAATTTGCAATTCTTTTATGTTTAGCTTCAAATGTCCAAAAATTCACTGCTGACTATTATCAAGATGAAGTGTCTAATTTTAAAAGTAAAACAATTAATTCCAGGTCAGTCTGAAACTCAATTTCATGGATAAATCAGAACATAATTTCACAGAGTGTTCTAGCAAATGAAATCTTATGTATCTTGCAAAAGAAAAAGAAAAAAAGAGTCATAAACTCAATAATTAGTAAAATTCCTTGTGGCACTGGTAGCTGGGCTGAAAAGAATTTTTCACTTTAGAAAGTTTGTTTGGAAAAGTAGTTGTTCAAGGCAAACAAGAAATTCAAATTTTTAAATTAATGTTCTTAGTGTAAATGTAAACCTGAAGGGTTATTTATTATTCTTCAGTCTTTCAAAGAATAAAGAACAGACTTAAAAATGTACACATATTTAAGCCCCACAACCAACAAAAGAGATGTATACCAAATACAGTTTCCCATTCATATAAAACAATCCATTACTTATCATAATGGATATACATGAAGAAATTCACAAAATGGCTCCATCAAGGGAAAAAATCAGAGAACAAGAGAGGGAATATCCATTAATGATCATATGACAATCATCTAATTAAACATGAAAAGATAATAAAAGCCAGGCACTGGTGGCTCCATTTGTAATCCAAGTTACTCAGGTGGTTGAGATCTGAGGATCAAAGCCAAACATGGCAGGAAAAACCATGAGCCTATTATTTCCAATTAACTATAAAAATAAAAAAAGCTGGATATGAAGCTATGGCTCAAGTGTTGGAGTCCTATTAATCTTGAGGAGAAAACAACAAACAAAAAACTCAGGGATGATCATCCCCTTAGTTCAAGCCCCAGGACCAGCACACACACACACACACACACACACACACACACACATTTATTCTCTTATTTTAAAAACACACCTTTAAAATATTTAAAACATTACATCTATAACAGACAAATGTATCTCTTATCTACACTTGAGCAGCAAAAAGTCAGAAGTAGATGCATCCTTCAAGTGGCAGAGCAGCAACTAGCAGCCAAAAATCAGAGCACGAAAATGAGGCCATGAGTTCAAAAGACATTCATTTCATGATGGTCTTATCAGAGAGAAAATATTTGGAAATTCGGTCAAAACCTCCCTGTGCTGAATATGCCCTGTGGATCAACATGCTCTTTGGTCAACAGCACTTCCTTTATCTCTTTCCCAGGGCCTTGAAGATGCTCACCACAGATAGCACTTTATGACTTCATACCCTTTGTCCAGTGGTGTTTAGTTGTTTCTCTCCCTGGTTGCTCTAGTTTTTATGACTGTGTTCAGTAGCATGAACGGTATCATTTCCATCCATCCATTTGATGTACTGTATGCAGATCAATTTCATCCTCTGCTCAGTTTCCATTACCACCTGCTCTATTTACTTTGCCAAGTTTAACTGTTGTGTACGCATCCTCACTCACTTCCTTCCATTAGTCCTCCCTGATTCTGCTGGTCCCCAGCCCTCCAACACGAGTTGTCTTCCAATACTCTCCAATAAAGTCTTTTTTTGCCTTTTAACTTTTGTGTGGATTTTACTTTGACAGTAAGTAACATCTAAAGTTTCTTAAAATGATTAGGCCATAGTTCGATTTCACCGTGTTTGTATTACCCCCTGCAAGATGTATTCTGTCAGTCTACAATTTCTTGTAGCACACTTGTTGAGGAATAGTAATTCACTGGACTATCAGATGAAGACAGCAGAGCTGAAGGGTTGAAGACCTATTGTTTTGTTTATTTTGTTTAGTTTTGGTGCCTGTCCTGGGGCTTGAACCTCGAACTTGAGCTCTGTCCTTGAGCTTCTGTGATGAAAGCTAATGTTCCACTACTTGAATCACGGTTCCTCTTCTGGCTTTTCTAGGGGGCTAATTGCAGACAAGAGTCTCAGAGAAATTTTGCCTGGGCTAATTTTGGACCACAACCTTTAGATTTTTAGCCTCCTAAGTAACTAGGAATACCAAACTTTTAAGGAACATTTCTGAGTATCTATTAAATTCCAGGCAGATAATTTGCATGTCAGACAATTTTATGATTTGGAGTTTTCAGAATATTTTTCTTACTGTATCAAATTTAACTTCCCATGATGATACAGTTTTCCTGTTGCATTGGCTTTGAACATATGGGTTCTTTCATTTTACGCACAGATTTTTTTTCCTTTTCTTCTCTGCTTTTTTCTGTTTGTCCTCCCTAATGGAAATGAGTAGCGAAAGATCCTTGGGTAGTAGTCTAGGAGCTACTGGTGATTTACAGGATTATATTTACATCTGTAATGAAAATTTTCATTACATTCTTAGGCATCTGGGAATAGGTTCTAGAAAACAACATTATCCCAAAGAAAAAATTCATCAGAAAGCTAGTATGATTTAACTTTAGGGATTCTCACTTGCCAAAACACTTTTGAAGTCACTGCATATAATTTTGTATTTGGAATTTCACATTCCTTCTCTTAAGGAGTATTCCCCAAAGGATATGAGTTTCAAGATGTACAACATTTGATTTGTCTGATTTTCACCATATCTGTGTGAATGTACATTGATGTACTGCCTCAGGAACAAAATAATACTTTCTTAGTTTTAGAAGATGCTTCTCTCCCAATGCTTTTTAAAGGTTTCCTTTACTTGGAATTTACTCTCTTTGTTTTACATTATTGAAATACGATAATTTTAAAAATTAGTATTATAATTGGCTAGGGAAATAAGTGAATAAGAGTTCAAAAGCTAGTTTCTATAGTGGTATTTCAGTCTCCAAACCAAATGTATAAGTAGTTTGGCAAACGGTTTATCATTTTCACATTACTGTGACTGTTAAAAGTTTTAATAATCTTGCTGAGAGGTGTCTCTTGGTATGCAAAAATTAAGTGAGAAGTTTACCAAACCAAAAGCCCTCCTCTCTCCTCTAAGTATAAAACTTCCAGAAGACAGGATGTTTGCTGTGCCCTGCTCTGAGTTTATCTAGTGAGGCAGCCAGAGAGGGGCCACTGGCTTATCTCACAGCTGTCTGAGGAATGCTGTGGAGAAAGCTGGATATCCCTGACTCCTCAAGTCCTTGAACATAGCTTGACAGTGTTATAGAATTCCAGAATTTCATGCATGTATCTCAGTTTCTAAAGAAGCATTTTAACCTTGACTTAGGACCTCTTTCAATTGCTTTTTATTCCATCCTATATTTTACATTTACTGAGACTTAGAAGAACAACGATTTAAGCTCCTTTATACTCTATGGTCCTAGTGAATACTATTTGATTCATCACATTCTGCCAGTGCAAAGAATGTTCATTCCAATAAAGTGCCTGCAGGGTGATTCTTCTCTCACAAAACTCCTCAGGGTTAGAATCTTTGGGGACAAACAGCTTTTATGAAACTCACTTTGAGAGCTGCCATATACGACTCTTTTGTACCTATAAGAAGAGAGACTTTAGGACTTTCTATCTTCAAAATAATTTGGAGGTCGTATCTCTATAGCCCAATGAATGGTTCTCTCCTTTGGTGTTTATCTATAGAAATTGTTAGTAGTATAGGACTTACTTCAAATATATATTTATTGAACCAAAATTGAAGATGTAAATATATATTGATATGTATATATATACTGAGCATATAAAATCTGTATTTTAACATATCTTTCCATATAAATATATTAGAGTGTGTGTGTGTGTGTGTGTGTGTGTGTGTGTGTGTGTGTATGTGTGTGTTTGTGTGTGTGCTGGTCCTGGGGGGCTTGAACTCAGGGCCTAACCACTGTCCCTGATAATTTTTTACTCAATGCTACCCCATTGCCACGTAAGCCATGACTCTACTTCTAGTTTTTTTTAGTCAACTGGAGATAAAAAAAATCTCATGGACTTTCCTGTCTGGATTGGCTTTGAACTTCAATCCTCAGATCTCAGCCTCTTGATTAACTAGGATTATAGGCATGAGCTACCAGTTACTGGCCTATTTTTTTAATTTTATAAAACTAGATAATACACATATATTCATAAACAAATATATACTATACCCATTATATATACATATTTCAAAGCATGATAGAGGATTACTGGAACAAATATTTCACATCATGTGACAATGACTATTATTGTCCCTGTTCATTCTTCTAGTCACTGGTTAAAAGGCCATATTCAGAACAGAGCCACCATCTGCTCCTGTGATACTTACATAGTGGCATGGGACAATAAACCAAGAGCTGTACAATTACATAATATCAAGGCCATGAGTAAAATATGGCTGAATAAGCAAACAGTGATTTACAGCCAAACATGTCTTGTTGGATATGTGAGCATATAATACCTTGGCCAGGCCTAAGACAAGTGAAACACCAACTCAGGTATCTAGTGACAGATGAGCACAAGCAGAAGGTACTCTACAAAGGCCAGGAAGGCCCTGGAAGAAGAAAAGCGAGAGGGTGATAAAAGATGAGGTCAGAAAAAGAGTAGAGAGGCCAACTAGGAGTCAGTGCACAACTCTGAGAAGTGTTAACTGCCCACAGCCAGCATGCTTACTTGAGAAGGATCGCACTGTATCAATGACAACCTTGGTAACAGTGGGCAGATATTGACGGTGGAGCTATTGCACTAGCCCAGGGAAGAATGGATGGCAAACCCAACTGTTCAGTGACAGTGGAGGAGGCAATTGTGTTGTAGCATTTATGAGCAACCACTAACACCATTTACCCAGATAGATGGTGAAAGCTTATGAAACTTTTTTGACTTAGAACAGGCAAATGAATGGTGTTGTTATTTTCTGAGGCAGCAAAACCCTTTGGTTTAGCAAGTCTATAAACAGAAAAAAAAAAGAATTTGGTAGAGATCCAAACCACTACTATTTAATAACGAGAAAATCCTTTGCTAATTGAGAGTGGAGTTGAAAGGGAGATTATAAAATGAGTATATAATTAAATTAGAGCTATAACGTACTAGAGGGGTTGAATTCAAGAAATAAATAGAGAAGTAAGGATGTCTCCAGTGGAAAGACAGCACATGAGGCCATAAGATCAAAGAAAACAAAGAGATTAAATGAAATTCTGTTCCAGAAAAAGCTAGCACTCCAGCACTGAGACTCAATTTGGTGATGGGTATGTCTTTGTTAAAGCCTTCAGAGCTTCCTGCCAGATGTTCGTAAAACAACATGGTTAGAAACTCTTAACCTTGATGGGCTTTGTAATTCATTTGTCATTGCAATATTTAATATTCCCTCATGAAAGATAGCCCAAAGTCTTTTTCTAATTGTAACCAATTTCTCAGTTGGTTGATTACATGAAGTAAGAGAATACTTAGTCCAACATATATCGCTATTAAAAAATATTTTCCCAGAAATGGTGCTATGGCTCAAGTAGTAGAGCCTTGAGCTAAAGAGATGATGGACAGTGACCAGGCCCAGAGTTCAAGCCCCATGACTGACCAATATATATATATATATATATATATATATATATATATATATATATATATTTCCCATAAAATTCATAAGACACAAAAATAAGAAAATCAATGGTAAGAGTGTGTTTGGGGAGGAGATGGGAGAAATGATAAAAGGAGTGACTTGGCTCAAGATGCATTGTATTCATGAACTGCTTTGTTGAATGGCAACTCCTTTGTGAAACTATTTAAAATTATATATATATATATATATATATATATATATATATATTGTTGTTATTGTTGGTGGTGGTGGTCATGAGTATTGAGCTTGGAACCTGGGCAATGTCTCAAGCTCTTTTGCTCAAGGCTAGTGCTATACCACTGTACACCACAGTACCACATCTGATTTTCTGGTGGTTAAATGGAGATAAGAGTCTTACAGACATTTCTGCCCAGGCTGGCTTTGAATTTCAACCTCCTAAGAAATAGGACTACAAGTGTGAGCCACTGACACCGGACAATAAAAATGTATTTTAAAAAACAAAACATACTTTTCTCAATTCTGTAGAGTGCTTTACACATTAATGTGTAGGAGCAATTGCATTTACTTCTTAGTTTATTTCTCCTGGTTGGATACTTGCAGGATTTTCCCAAATCTATATTCATACCTCTCTTGTAGGTTGAACCATTATCCCCCCCCAACATATTGTCTTCCTTGAACTGAGACTTTGGAATAATGTAGTGTCAAAGGTAATTTGCAGGGCTAGCAACCAGTGGCTCCTGCCTATAATCCTACCTAATCAGGAAGCTGAGATCTGAGAATTATGGTCCAATGTCAGCCAAACCAGAAAAGCCCATGAGACTTTTATCTCCAATAACTACCAAAAAGACAGAAGTGAAGCTGGGGCTCAAGTTGTAAAACACTAGCCTT